CTGCTGCCATGGTAACTTGCAGTTGAGGGGGTCCTGACTGACTGCTAGGGCTCTCTCCCTAGACAGTTTCAGCCCTTAAAGGAGCAGACACCTTAGTGCCCTGTGACAAAAAGTTGCGGAGATTGGCTAATAGGATGATCAAAAGTGGAGAGTCTGTGTCAGAAGAGGGGACTAAAGGACATTGGCTATTTGACTTAGCAAAAGGAAAGGAATATGATTATTCTCTCTAAATATATTGGGAGGGAGGGATGGAGAAGAGCTGTTAAAGCTAAAGGTGAATAATAGAACAAATGAGCGTAAGTAGCCATGAATAAATGTAAAGTGGAAATTAAAAGTGATGTTCTGGTGTTCTGGAACATCCTACTAGAAATTGTGGGGGAACAGTCCTAAGTACTTTTAAGATAGAGCAATTTACTGTAAACATTATCCCCTTGTATCTCTTAACCATATTTTAATTTTATTTGTTATCCTTTTTATTTACCTTTTCAACCATTCTTGTGGAACAAAAAAACCCTGTTAAAATGCCCAGTCTCTGTAATCTTCTTTGCAACTTGACCAAGTTGCAAGATTTAAAAAACTCTGATGTTTGAGGTAAGCACTCAGCAGGTATAAATTGGCAGTGCTTCACTGAAACAAAGGGATCTAGTCCAGTTTATACCAGTGAGGATTTTGCCCATTGTTTTTTATATATAGTAGTAGAGACAGCATAGATGCACAACTTATAGATAATAATTACAGGCTAGCTTGCACAAGCCCAAGAGGAGCACTGAAGAGAACTGGTGTTTCATGACTCCCATCCTGTCCCTGTGTCCAGGTGTAACCACCCTCCCTCTACACCACACCCTTTGCACTTCACTGGATGACATTTTTGGTGGACATTAACTTCTCATCCTGCCATCCAGAGGAAAGGGAATAAAGGGGCCTGAAGCTCTGCTTACCCCACTGCAGCTGGGCCAAAAGGTGTAGCAAAAAAGAGAGTGGCATGTCTTACATCTCAGCACAGCCATGTTAATGCTAACCACACCTAAGCTCAGCATTTGATTTCTGTTTATAAGTGCAGTGCAGATGTAAAAAGCAATTGTAAACACTACCTTGGTTTGTTCCTCCAATCGCCCAAAACAGTTGCCAGCCTGACATTTTTCCAGAACAAGAGCTTGCCAGCCTGACATCTTGTTTGACAAGTTCCACTGCGGGGGAAAGTTGGTTTGGGTTAGTTTAATAGGAATGGCAGGGAAACTGGCACTTGACTTAAAGACTGCTAGCAACAGCACTCTAATAAGTAATGCCATGAGTGATGCCATAGTGTGAGGTCAGGAGTAATCAAGACACTTCATTTTCCTTTAGAAGAACTCTGCTTAGTGTATTTAAGTGTTATCTGCAGCTCTGCTCATTTCAAAATAAAACTGCTTTCTAAAATGTAAAGCATATGGCTTCTAGTTTACGACACTATTTAAAATACAAGTTTTCAAACACAATCAGGTTAACCACTGTCCCATTCACTATAATGTATTGTGACTACTTCTCCTAGCCAGCTGGTATTTTACTTGTCCTCCTCTAAAAAGAAATCTTCTGTATGTCTTATATAAGACTGTGCAAAGCAAGAATATAATTATTAGCTTGTATTTCTACCTCAGGGTTTTGTGTGGCTTATAAACAATGTAGGTGAGATGCTTCGGTGGAAATAGTCACCATGAATTTTCTTCCTCCTCTTTCTCCTGAAAATACAATGTACTAGTCTCTACTGCTAGCCTGCACTAATGGAGAGGGCCGTATCGACTGCAGTGGAACTAAAGTCATTTGCACCAGCTGAGGATCTGTTCCATAATCTGCCATCACAATAAGAGCTCCATTCTGACCCCAGGTGCACATAATGAGAAAATGTTGCCATTAGGCTTGTGCGCACCTGCACAACATCAGAATCAGAAACTACCTGGGGACCTTTGTATGGGTATCCAAGATTAGAATTGGTCTGATTGGTATAAATGTTACAGCTGTTAGAAATATTTTTAGCAGAACAAATTTTCGGTTGGAAAATGCAGCTTCATCAACATTGAAATGCTTCATAGGAATGAAACGAATTGCTTCAGCTTTTGTGCTTTGTTTTGTCAATATCGGAATGGTTTGTTTTGTGTGGAAATATTTTCTTTCAAAGCAAACATGCTTTCCTTAGACTTTATTGTTTTATGTATGCTTTTTGTGTGCTGAATTATATCCAAGAATCCATTTTTAAATTGAAATAGTCAGATTTTTTATCTCTCTTTCTCTCTTTCTGCCATCAAAACTGGCCTGGATATCGGAAACTGTCCCACTGAAAACTTCACTGAAATCAAAATGTCTCCATTGAACTTAAGGCTTTAACATTTTTTTATTAAAATGTTCAGAACTTCATTTATTTTATATTAAAAATTAAGTTTACCATTTTACATACATTTAATATTTTATATTGTCACTATTTCAATACAATATGGTTTACCATATTGAAATTTCCTGCAGATGAGAATTTTCACATTTTGGCAAGATCTAAAAGACATATGCTAATGTACATGAACCCAAAGGAGTATACTGTTTGCTTTGTGTGGATGGAGCACTTCAGTTCCCTTTTCTCAGCAGCCTGAATAGCAAGTTGTCTCCTGATAACTAACATTCTGTACCTTGTCCTGTGTTTTCTACCCATGTTAGAACTGCTGACCTTGAGATCCACATCTCACAGCTGCATAACTTGTTATGTCATGGTACTTAGTGTTCCACACCAGAAAATTTAAGCCATTCCATGTGCCAACCCAAGAAAGATTTCTCTTCTTAGCCTACTTAATCTAAGGTATGTAAATGAAATATTGTCTTCAGCTTGTCTTCTATAGTGTACCTAGTGTACTAATTCTCAATCCGGCAAACAAGTAAAACATTAAATGTACATAAAAATCAGTGCTTGAGTTGTAGCAGAGGTGGGAATGATTCTATACTCCTATACCAGCAGTCCTATACCAATTCTGCAATGGGCAGTCAACATTGTTGCAAAAGAAAAAATGATCCTGGAACTCACAATTTGATGGCTTAAAAGTTTCTTGGTTTATGCTTAAAACTTTTAAGTATAAAACAATGAATGCTACCCGCGCTCTGCTTTACTCTGTAATAATCTGTGCGATAAACTGCTTGGCCCTTGGGCTCACAGTTTATCCACTCACGAACTGGATCATTATCTCATAAAGCATTGCAACTTGACTATTATCACTTAATCGCATTGCAGCACCAAAGAAAATGTGTAGTTATTTTATTGCATTTGGATTTAATTTAAATTCCACAGTAGCTCAAGAAAAGGTCATTACCAGGAAAATGTGAAATGCATTGATTGAACAAGGTACTGTACAAAAAACAGTCTGAACATGCAACTGGAGGAAGGTTGGGGACATACTGTGACAAAGACAGAAGGGCTTATTCTGGCCTACATTAAAAATGCTACCTCTGGACCAGCAGAGAGCTAAGATTTATACATATGTTCCAGTTCTACACAGAAATAATCTCTAGTTCACATTAATATATACATTAGGATGGCTCATATTTCTCATGTAGGCCTTACACTGCATGAGAAAAAAGGATAGACTGACATAGATGACCCTCTACTGGAGAACCAGTATCAGCTCCACATCATTTTACGTCTTACCTTTCTTGATAAAGCTGAGAAGGATTAAAGTGAGGAACTTAGATCAGAAAGAGTGACATATAAATCTGAGAAGTTACCTTCTTCAAAACAGCTCTAGGGATTACTGAATGAGAAATGAACACTAAGGACAAGCTCTCACCTGACTCAGAGTTCAGAGAAATTTAGGACTTTGGAGATAGCTCATTTCTTCCATTTCACAATTGCATCTGGATGTTTTCTTCCAAGTGCATGGCAACTCAAAACACAAAACAAAACAAAAATATTCTAGTGGGTTTACTAGCAGACACGGTTTCCTTAAACCAGGGATCGCCAACCTGCAGCACACATGCTACAAATGGCATAGGAAGTCTTTGCGTGGCATGCAGCAGATCGGGGAAGGGGCAAGGAGCATATATGTAGATTGAGCAGGGGGCAGAAGGTTGAGCAGCAGACCAAGCAGGGGAAGGGGATCAGAGTGGCACTCAAGGAAGATGTGGAGCTTAATTAGTTACACACTGGAAAGGTTAGGCTCCCACTACCTTCTAACATCTCTCTCCTTATATTCTGCTTTCTGCATAGTCATTCACAATATCTGATAAAGTAAGCTTCAGCTTGTTATACACACGCATTTACTTTGGCTAGTCGATAAGGTCCAAGTGTACCCTGTCTTCTACCACTGCCTTAAACCAATATCCTAATGGCATGAAGGACTCCCATGGGAAAAGTGAGGGTATAGAGCAGAGGTGGGCAAAGTCTGGCCTGCAGGCAGGATCAGACCTGTGGCAGACTCCATTTCCTAGCAGCCCCTGCCCATGTTGCTGCTGCCAGTTTCCACGGAAACCCCAGCAGTGGTGGTACTGTGGCAGCAAGGGGCCAGGGTTTCCATGAAGACCAGCCCTAGCAGCGCTGGCAGAGTGCACGGCAGAGCAGAGAGCTGCTCCGGGGATGGGATCTTCCAGTGCTGAAAGCATGGTCTGGAGCCAGGGCAGAGCTGCAATTTGCTGCCCACATGCCTGGACAGGGGCATGGAGGCAGCAGATCGCAGCTCTGCCCCAGCTCCAGACCATGCTGTCACCACTGCAAGATCCGAGCCCTGGCCCCAGAGCAACTTCCTGCCCAACCACGCACCCTTGCCACGCTAATGAGGCCAATCTCCATGGAAACCCTGGCCCTGCGCTGTCATGGCGCCACTGCTGCTGGGGTCTTCATGGAAACCAGCAACAGCAATGTGGGCAGGGGCTGCTGGGAAATGGAGTCTAGCC